TGATACTCTTGGTGTAGTGATCAACATTAACAATAACTCCTGTCAAATAATAAACTCATCTTTAGATTGATTTATTATTCACATGGAAATCTTATAATTGTCACACGTTTACCACTACAAGTGTACATGCAATTCGACCAAATATTAACCTTCCTTTGGGCCGGCTAATCTGCATGAACTAGCATACACACGAAATCCTTCTACTATTCTAAGTTAATTAATTCCTACAAGAGAGGTTGTTTTGGCAACATATTGCTTCAACCAAGTGAGTATTATATATACTCAAATGAGCCCTTCATACCAAAATTTGAAAAGCAGAATACTTAATTTTATTCTTCTTGAAACTTTAAGGGCCTAAGGGTTAATAATTCAAAACTTTAGGGACCAAAAATTAATTATCCGGAACTTTATGGGTCAATAATTAATTGTTGAAAACTTTAGGAGTCAAAAAATTAATTATTTAAAACTTTAAGGACCCAAAATAATTATTCAAAACTTTAGGGGTCAAAATTAATTAATTTTAAAATTAAGGAGGTAAAATTTAAAATTTAAAACCTTTTGGGGCTAATAAGAACAAATTCAGAAACTTTAAGGGCTTTAAATGTAAAAAACAGAACTAAAATGACCCAAATTAATTAATTTTAAAACTCTAGAGACTGAATTTATATAATCTCATAACCTTAAAACTCAACTTAAATAAATTTTTAACTTTAGGGGCTGAAATATTTAAACTCATAATCTTAAGGCCCAATTAGAATTAACTTTAAACTTCAGGTGCTGAATAATAAATAACACAACCTTAACCCTAACTTTTAATTGCAAGCAAGGACCCCAAAAACTTGAAATTTGCAGCCCAAGCCAGGCCCCCAAAAATTCAAAAACTGAAATTTTAATTAATTCCATAGCTGAAACCTTAATGAAGAAGCCCCTCAACTTCCTCCTCCATCATCCGGGGCCGCCAAGTCCCAAATGGCGGGGGGGCTGTCGGACGGCAGCCCCCTCGGGGCAAGCAGCCCGACTCAGTTGCAAAAATCTTCCCAAAAATCAGAATTTTGAAGAAAACCTTGAATATTATAATAAGAGGCTTGAATCCATAATAACATGCTTGAATTACATGTAAAAAACATACCAAATTGAAGATCCATAATATAATATGCTATAATATCATAAAATATCATGAAAATCAAAGAATCCATAAAAATTCAGAATTTGAAACTTCAATTTCTCACGAATTTCA